TGGCGATTATTTCCTCGGTGAGTGTAAGCATGCAGGGGGGGGGGGCTGACAATGCACCACCACACTTAATTAAAGAGCAAGGTGAGGAGATGGGGGAGGGATAGAGGAGTGAGGAGGTAGGGCAGGGAGAGGAAGGGGAGGTAGGGCAGGGAGGAGGGGGGAGGGGAAGGGGAGGAGGGAAGGGGGAGAAGAAGCTACAATATATCATTAGGGGTAATCAAGTAGTTTCTGCCACGTGCCTAGTGTCTCGTCTTCCTCCCCACCAGGTGCTGTGTAGTGTGTGAGTGTTGGGGTATTATTATTATTATTATTATTATTATTATTATTATTATTATTATTATTATTATTATTATTATTATTATTATTATTATTATTATTCATTTAACTTAATTGCTGAGTGTTTGTACATACTTCTGAGTCTTTTTTTTTAAGGCTTTTCAGAGGCTATTTATGAAATTTAGTTGACAATGTAGTTACGGATAGATCATGATAACTCCTGCTGTTATTAAGAAGAAGTTAGGGGATATATGTTAAAAAGCACTTGATTTTACGTCATTTTAATTGTGAGAACTTGGTGATTATTCGGAGCATCGTGGAGGAGAGAATAATCTAAATAATCCGATTATTAAGTTTCCCAACTGTGTCATATAATCTTGGAGTTTACGTGATATACTTCCTTACACTGGAGAGCTCTATATCGGCTATGACTATCTTGTCTCTACAGATACAGTGAGTCATCCCCCGCCCCCTATAGGTACAGTGAGTCATCCCCCGCCCCCTATAGGTACAGTGAGTCATCCCCCGCCCCCTATAGGTACAGTGAGTCATCCCTCCTACAGGTACAGTGAGTCATCCCTCCTCACACCCATCACACACCCTCCTCACACTCAACACACACCCTCCTCACACTCTACACTCACCCTCCTCACACTCTACTCCTCACACTCCTCACACTCTACCCCACCCTCCCCACCCCTGCACATTGGCTCCCTCCCCTGGCCCACACACACCCTCCCCACACCCCCACACTCACCCTCCCACACCTACACACACCCTCCCCACACTCTACACACACCCTCCTCACACTCTACACACACCCTCCTCACACTCAACACACACCCTCCTCACACTCTACACACACCCTCCTCACACTCTACACACATCCTCCTCACACTCAACACACTCCGTCCTCTTAATATTCACACAACTTCATGCAAACAACTTTCAAAAAATTACAATAACATTAAGCTGAAGGATTATCTATGCATATTATTATAATCATACATAACTCAAACTGATTAACATATTTCGGGGTAGAATTTTAACATCGGCTTTGTAATATTTGAAACCAAGAGAGAAAATAGCATCTTTTATTTTCGTATTTTTTGACAAGTCTACCACCTAACCTCCCCCCACTCCTTCCCTTACTCCCTATAATGTAGTTTGAATCAACCAATAAAACACAGATTAGAGATACTTGTTGTCATCTCAGTGTGGTTAAGGGAGGCTTCCTTACCATCTGTGAAAATTTTGTATTAAACCCCTAATAATTATGGATGTTTCCCAAGTGTGGTCGGGCGGGGTTTGGTGGAGCCGGAGGGGGGTGGTGGAGGGGGTTTGCGGGGGGGTGTGGCGGAGGGGTCGTGCGGAGCGGGGAGGGGGTGGTGCGGAGCGGGGAGGGGGGTGAATTTCATGACCTTTATGACCAAAACCTTCATGTTCAATATGACCAACAGTGTATCGTACTTAGCTACTGCCAAGACCAACAAGCTCTGTAATTTAGGTAAAGATCGGTTAAAAATTGTGAACGCTGGCGTGTAAATAGTTGAAAAGATGTCAGAATCCTGTTGGCCAACCGAGCCGCTGCCCTGACTAGACCATGAAGAGGTTAGGTTAGATTAGGTTAGGGTAAGTTGGGTTAGGTTAAGTTAGGATAAATGTTTATGTTCACCTCAAAGACCCACAAAGGTCGTTTACTTGTCCCCATCAACAAAAACAGTAACAAGTAAAAAAAAAAGCTATCATGTGTCATGAAAGTAGTGAATGGTGCGTGCATGACTGTAGTGAATAATGTAAATTTGTAAAGAAGAAAATTATTCCGATTGGTCAATAATTCTAAGTCATTATTATGATTTGTTTTACAGATATTGAGTGTGTTATTATTATTACTATTACTGTTGATATTACTTTACTATTATTATTATTATTATTATTTGCCGACCACAGAAAACAAAATATACGAGTATATTATATTAGTAAACATTTCTCAAGATAACATAGACCAACACATCCTTCACCACAGACCAACACATCCTTCACCACAGACCATGCATCTTCAATTACAGAATTTGAAATATATCCTCTCACCAGATCAATGATCTTTCACCACAGACCAACACATCCTTCACCACAGACCAACATCCTTCACCACAGACCAACACATCCTTCACCACAGACCAACACATCCTTCACCACAGACCAACATCCTTCACCACAGACCAACACATCCTTCACCACGGACCAACACATCCTTCACCCCAGCGTAAACACGGCCCGTTACGATGCCCATGGCTGCTCCGTGCAAATCCTTGAAAATCTTGAGGCCAGTGAAGTAATCCGAGGTCTTGCTGTGTCAGTTTATAAGAAAATGTATTGTTCTTTGGACGTTGCCTTCTAGTTAAAAGAAATAGTCTATTGGTTGCCATACCTAATACAACGAGTGTGCCGGTCCAGACGTTGCCATACGCTAACACCATGAATCTATTAATTGCCATATCTAATACAGTACATCTACTCGCCAGGGCGTTGCCCTGTTACATTCATAAATAATACTGTAATACTGACGTTTTGTCATAACAAAAACAACAGAAATCTACTAGTCTAAACGTTGCCATATCTACTTTGACAAGTTGCCAATCAGGAAGTTGCCATGTCAAAAAATCACTCCTCATTCTATACGTTGCTATTGTGTATTGTTAGTACACGTTATCTTAACATGTGTGTGTGTGCTGAAGAGATGGTGCTTTGTTACAGCAGGTGTATTACAGTATAACACCTTCGTATGGAAACAGTATAACGATATTGTATAGTAACAATATAGATAGCTATAGCTAGTACTAATATATACATTGGTTTGTCATAACATTGATGGCTTTGTGTCATAACATTGATGGCTTTATCATAGCACTGATGGCTTTGTGTCATAACACTGATGGCTTTGTGTCATAACACTGATGGCTTTGTCATAACACCGATGGCTTTGTGTCATAACAACATTGATGGCTTTATGTCATAACATTGATGGCTTTGTGTCATAGCATTGATGGCTTTGTGTCATAACAACATTGATGGCTTTATGTCATAACAACACTGATGGCTTTGTGTCATAACACTGATGGCTTTGTGTCATAACACTGATGGCTTTGTCATAACACCGATGGCTTTGTGTCATAACAACATTGATGGCTTTATGTCATAACATTGATGGCTTTGTGTCATAGCATTGATGGCTTTGTGTCATAACAACATTGATGGCTTATGATTTGAGCTGCCAGTCACAATTACCAGATAGCCAGCATTGGGTGTTTTGTCATAACACCTGAGTGGTTTTGGTTGCAATATTACGGCTTTAGGCCGCAAACATTGATGGCTTTGTGTCATAACATTGATGGCTTTGTGTCATAGCATTGGTGGCTTTGTCATAGCATTAGTGGCTTTGTGTCAACAACATTGATGGCTTTGTCAAAACATTGATGGCTTTGTGACAACATTGATGGCTTTGTGTCATAACATTGATGGCTTTGTGACAACATTGATGGCTTTGTGTCATAACATTGATGGCTTTGTCATAACATTGATGTCTGTGTCATAACAATATTGATGGCTTTGTATCATAACATTGATGGCTTTGTGGCATAACAGTGATGGCTTTGTCATAACATTGATGGCTTTGCGTCATAAGATTTATGGCTTTGTCATAACAACATTGATGGCTTTGTATCATGAGCATTGATGGCTTTGTAGTGTGTAAGTTTAATGGTTTTGTATAGTGATTACATTGATCGATCCGTGTTGTATTGTTGTAGTATTGCATTGTTTCTGTTGTATTATTGTGGTCTATTGCACTGTATTGTATATTAACATCATACATGGCTCTGTTTGTTATTAGTACAGTTGACAATGTATACTAAAGATATATATGACCCTGTATTGTATAAGTGTTGATAGTATAGTTACAGTATAGACAACTTTAGTATTATTATATAGGACTCTGTGTAGTGACTATAATTATATGTAGTAATAGTATATGTTCAGTATGTGGCTATGATTATACAGTATGTTGTACTGGTGCGTATATGACTGATTATATGTAGTATTTGTAAATAAATTACTTTGTCGGGGAATTACGTCGATAACTTTGGTAACATTTAATAACAGTGTGTGTGTGTGTGTGTGTGTGTTTGTAATAACACGGGGAAGTTTGGTGTAGTGTGTGAACGTTGGTAATACAGTCAAGTGGAGGGATGTGATAGGTGTGAGGTCAGAGTGCAGGTGTGTGTGTGTATTTGTTGTGTTCACCTGCAGGGAAACAGGTGTTCAGTGTTTGTTATCAAGATGTGGGTCGTTCAACACAAGTCACCTAGTATAATGAGGGTTATGGTCGTTACACACACAAGTGGTTTGATATTTCCCCTGTAACGAAAAAAAGGTGATTTGTGAACATTTCCTAGGTATCAGCAAGGGTCTGTTTTCCACCCGCCATTCATAACATTCTCCAGCCCTCACTAACGACCAGGGTACGAGGGTACTAATTAGTTTTATTGGCGTTCTGCATTTCTACAAGCACCAGCCTCGTTCAGGAGTGTGACGTCACGGGCGGGCAACACTAAGTAACGGGACGATGGACAGAGGATGATGATGGTGTGTGCGTGTGACAACTTTACTGTGGTGGGAGAGGACAGTACCATCAGAGTGCGTTCAGGACGGGAGCAGCACCTTACCTGAGTGTGGACGGGTGGCAGCAGGGCGGACGCGGTGCGTTTGGTGTTGGACGCGGAGGAGACACACACGCCCAGCTCCGACAGGGTCATCCTCGGCCGTCTGGCCTCACCACCTCACCACACACACATTCTGGTTCACTAAAGGTCACCAGCACACCCTCACCACAACTAGCGGGCGCACGACGGTGACCGAGAACAGCCAGAGCAACACATACCGCGCGCCACACCACACACCGAAGCACTTGTCTATTGATCACTGGGCCCCGCGCGCGACACCAGCGCCCAGCTCGCTATGGCAACCCAACCCAGCTGGGCAGAGCTCCCGCGCCTCCCCTCCAGCCCTCCACACTCCCGCACACCTACACTTGTGCTCCACCACACAGGGTGTACACGCTCATCTGCCTCCTCACGCTACTTCTCTCAAACAGGACATAGAGTTGCTGTTGTAGAAGTGAATGCTTGATTGTGGTAATAACGACCGTCACCATAGTTCACGATTTCCATAATACTACTACACATCTTTCTTATCATTTGCTTCAGGATAATTACAACACCCATGGACTAATTCATGCAAATAAGGAAATCTTCAATTGGGTGAAATTATTAGAAATTAACAATTATTGATAACGTCAGATGATAATCCCGCGACTCACTGGCTGAGTTCTGTGTCTGTTAACTGTGTAGTAACTGTCCTCTGTTGTTTGTATCATATAGCGTCAATTGCCAGCTTTTAATAAACTGAGTAGGAGTTTCAGTTCTCTCCCCTTCAATAACCGTCACAAAATAAGAATGGCCTCATCAGTAGTCCACCTTTACATTCATTAACAAAGCAGTAAAACAAAAGCATGTATAAGTCTTGCCTTTCAACGCGCGTGTAAAAAAAATAAATGCACAGAATACTTGATTTTGTGTAACTCATAAAACGGATTAGCAAATGTTAGCGAAAAATGAACTGTGTATTAGGTGGCCCTTAATCAGCTGATTGGCCTCACAGCTGATGGAAGAAAATGTCTTTTCTCGCCTAAGCTCCACCCTCAACCTGGCCTCAGCAGTTGATTGGTTGAAAAGAGCAGTTTCCACAAAATACAGCAATTTCATCCTTATTCCCTTAACTTTTATACTTTACCGCTCCAGTTATGTTGAAATATATACTCACATTTAAATATTATTACACTATTTTCCTAACAGTCTTTATACCTTCACACGTTGCCCTGAACGATACGTGGTGGAACAGGACGAAATATGTTGAGTATATAAATGTTCGTTTTACCTTATGTGTAGATCATGCACACTGATAAAACAAAGAAAATATCCTAACTGTATTTATTTTTTGCGCACATTAATGATAAGGCTGGTATTGATTATTTGATAAGACTACAGGTATGATGGTCAGGTTCAACGAACGTTAAATCGGGGTTAGATGATTTTAAAAGGCACCGAACTCTCCTGTACGTAGATTTTGAACGTTCGGAATTATGTTCATTATTGAACTTATTAGTATATTAAATTTATCACAAATAGTATACCAATTTGGTGTTAGTGTAAAGAGCTGACAGTAGAGCTACCTGTAGATGACCTGGAAGTACCTGTAGATGACCTGGAAGTACCTGTAGATGACCTTTAATTATGTGTAGAAGATAATAGTATAAAGTACCTGTAGAGAGGACTTGTACGTTCCAGTATAGGACCTGTAAGCACCTGTAGATGACCTGTAGAGAACCTGTAAAATACCTATAAGTACCTGTTACAGTAAAATAAATCATGAAAATTAAATAAAATCAGAATGAAGCTGAAAGGTGATGGCGAGTCATTTTACAGCGTGGAGTGAGAAGGGAAGGGTAGTGTGGATGAGACGTGAGGGGGAGGAGAAAGGGACGAGGGAGGATGTGGAGACGAAGTGAGGAGATGGAGAAGAAAGGAGTAAGGGAGGAGGGAAAAGGTGTGAAGGAGGAGTTTGGGTGAGAGGGAGGAGGGGAGACGGGTGAGAAGGAGGAGAAAGGGGTGAGGAGGAGGAGGAGGAGGAGGAGAAAGGGATGAGGAGGAGGAGGAGGAGGAGAAAGGGATGAGGAGGAAACAAAGTAAGAATATGGAGAAGAAAGGAGTGAGGGAGGAGAAGGGTTGAAGGGAGGAGGGGTGACGGGAGTGGAAACGAAGTGAGGAAGTAAAAGGAGTGAAGGGGGAGGTGAAGAGACGGGGTGAGGACGGTAAATGATATAGTCAGCTCCACCAACATCACCAGTTCGTCAACCTGTGCAGGAAGGAAGATGAACAATAATGTTTACTCTCTGGTTGACTTTGGATTCATACATTTGGCACTTTTATATAATTTCGTGTCACCTGAAGATTAGACACCCAAGTTTAATTCACCTGATAACCACCTTAATATTAACTTAACCTAACTTAACCTAACCTTATGCTAACCTAACCTAACCCAACGTAGCCTAACGCTAACCTAACATAAGCTGACCTATCCTAACCTAACGTAATTCAAACCAACATAATCTAACCTAACGCTAAACACTAACCTAATCTAACCCACCTTAATCTATTCTAACCTAACCTAAGGTGTTTAATCATCAGGTAAAATAAGCCTGGAGATTGTTCTTCAGGTGATCGTTAATTTGAGATATTCCAGATAAGGACTCCATTATGTTTTAAGAGACTGTCATGAGCGGAGTTTTGCACAAGACGTTCACAACCACGGGATAGGATGCTCCAATATTCTCTCGACGTTTTCATTCTTAAGTGGGATAACAAAAAATCGTCTCTTAACTATAGTCTTAGCACTATTCAAACGCCAATTTAGTCTCTGTCTTCGTGACGTAGCGTATGTGAGTGAGTTAGACGCCTAAGGTGAAAATTTATATTATACAGTATGAACATTCTCATAGTACAGCGGTGACTCAGTATCGATTACCCACTTGAGTCGAATATAAAAAGGGTGTTACCTGGTATAAACACAATAACCTATATATATATATATATAAATAGGATAACTTGAAGATTAGCTACCTCAGCTTATTTCACCCGATGATTCACTACCATAACGCTATCTGGGAAGGGGAGGGAGTTAGGTTAGTTTAGGTAAGGTTAGATTAGGTTAATTTTCAGGTGGAATAATATTGGGTTCCTAATCTTCAGGTGATCCAAAACACGTATAGGCCTATATAATAAAGAGGTGTGTAGCCAGGTAAGGTAAGGTGGGGTGAGGTGAGCCACACATCGGCAAGAACCTTACACTACAGGCCAGGGGGTGACTGTAACGTGACAAAAACACACACACACACACACATGACGACACCGGACGTGTTCTCATCACATTGTCTTGTCGTTTTACAATGCGACAAAAATACAATGAAACAACTTTCCTATTCGGTTAAAAATGTGTCGTATTGACAGTGTAGATAAAGACGAGTCAACTAAATCTACACTCTATTTAACTTTCTAAAATACTTTTATATTTACCTGAAAATACGTTCTTCTGGTGTTATCTTTAGGTGATTACTCGCGCATTTACACTTGATTTCTTTATTTTTACCTTAAATTAGTTCTGCTTTTTCTGATATGCGTTTTGTTTACTTTAAATGCGTCGTACACATTGAGTGAAAAATATATCTGGTTTACGGTACCTACAAAATACGTCTTACTATAAACTTCGTCTACTTACACCATAACTAACACTAACGATGAGCTGCTACTTAGAACATAATCCAAATCTGATTACATTAATCTAAGTTTCTGCTACTGTACTGTACTGTACATAGTGAAGTATTACGGACGGACAAAGATGACGCGGACGGAATGACGGAGAATCGGAGTCCTCCACCACATGTCATGACGCTTAAGTGAGGAAGAAAAATCGTGAGTTATATACCTAGCCAAAAATACATTATGTACTCCACTCCTAAACGTACCCTACTTACCCACCTCGAGAGGTAAATGGCGAGAAGTACGTTCTCTTGCCTTCTACTGCACAATACTGGGTTTCTTTTCAAAGGCATTCGTCGCTACATCACAAAGTGCTCACTTACCGAAATTTAAAAAAAAAGAAGAATCTTATGAAAGGAAAAATGAAAAAATCGCATAAAACATTCCTTGGAAATATTCACCATCCTCATGGGAGTAAACGAAAAGAAATAAATGAATAACGGTGGGAAGAAAAAAGTAAAATTGTATACCTAAATTCCCCGCCAGAGAGATAGAAAAATTAATTAAAGCGACCCACTCCTATAATCCAAGATGGTCTGATAACACTGTGAGAATCAGGGAGAGATGTACTGTACCCACAACTCCCAGCAGGTATACAAAATGGGATCCTCCACCAGAGTACTAAAATACCCAACAGGTTCGTCTCGCTTCTTTGTTTTCTTCTCCCTGGACCCGGCCCGCCAAAACAAACCGCTCCCCCTGCGTTTGAAGCTCATGAGGATGAAGCCTAATAGTAATATATTTCTAAGTGAGATCTGAGATGACGAGGCATTTGAGCTGACTGTAACCTATTATGACCTTTCCAGTCACCAGAACATTAAAAATATCACGTTTAAATATAAAACAACCAGTTATAAATACCTGGCGGTGCTAAAATGCACAAGAACATTTGTATTATTAAGATCAAGGCAGACTTTCAATAAATACTGCATCATCCAAGTCTTAACTATATTCATATCACACTGATAGCCCGATGGGTTATAACATTATGTATTTCTGTACAACACAAACACACCTAACCAAATAATCACTAAAACAGATGGTTGTCCCGAGGTACTTGCGTTACGTTAACCCAAGTATCAGTAGTGAGAGTGTTAAGTGTTGAAGACCTCGTACATCAAGCTGCTGTGGTCCATCTCAGCTAAATGGTGCTTGAGGTTGTACTGCCGAGTGAAGGGCCATTAACTCGGTAATGACGAGGAGTTCCTTGGTCATTGTGAGCGTGACTCATTACACACGATGGTTCCTTACCTCCCGGAGCGTATGAATTATTACTAGTTTGTAGTCAGGCCTATAAAGACACAGACACGTGTACATTTTACATACACGCAACTAAAACACACGCAAAAACACAAAGAAAGAATATCACAAAATATCATATAGCTCCTCAGCCACACACAGTAGAAAAGATGCACTCGAATCCTTTAATTCTGGAAGGTATGGTGAGTTTAGGACCAACCAGATGATATAAGCTACCGGGGATTATAATGACATTACAAATCCACCCAACACAGTTATTAAACTACCAATCCTGATGCCGTAGTTGGTTATTATGTGACAAGTTCGTAGTCATGA